TTTATCCTCTCCTGCATTTCCCATCTCCAGCCATAACAGTAAGCATTTTTATTAGTTTCTAATTTATACTTCTTGTTTATCTTTTTGTACAAGTATACAGATATTTCCCTGCTTTTTTTTCACAAAAGGTAACATACTACTTATGTTCTATCTACTTTGCTTTTTTCCACTTAGAATATATTGCAGCAATCATTCCTCTATGGCTCTATTGTGTGCCTACACCACTGTTTATCCAACATGTGCTCTACTGATGGTAATTTGAAACTGCCCCCCTCCCTGCATATATGAAATGTGTAAATGCTTAGCACATTTTTCATCACCTTTTCAGGAAGGGAAGAAATAATTATATAGTGAAGTTAGGCTCACAAGCAATTGTTGGGATCCTAATAGTAGAAACTATATTCATGAGGGAAAACAAACAAACAAAAAAAAACAACAAAAATACCAAATATTAAAATTATTTAAAACACACAATGCTAGAGAAAGAAAGCAACAATTTATGTTGCTTAATAATGAAAACTGTTTGTGTTGCAAGCTTTCAAAATATTTATATATAAAGTCATCTCTTTATTACTGCAATGAAAAGAAACATTGATTCCAGGCTTCCTTGAGTCACAACTGCCAGGCTTTCCTCATGGGTGGTATTGTTTATTTTATAGGCCTGTCTATTATTTGGCTGAAAAGTGATATCTGGGAATGGCTTCAGTTCGAAGCTAGAAGTTGTGTCTAATGGCCATAGTTTCAGGGGTTCCTCTAGTTTCTCTGATCAGTAAATCTGGTCTTTTTTAATGGATTTGAATTTTGTTCTATATTTTTTTACTGCTCTAACCAGGACCTTCTATTGTGATCTTGGTCAGGGCAGTTGGTAGTGGTAGCTGGGCACCTTCTAGTTCTTCTGGTCTCAGGCTAGTGAAGGCTGTGGTTTCTGTGGTCCATTAGTTCTTTGGACTAATTGTTTCCTTGAGCCTTTGATTTTCTTCTCTCCTTTACTCTGGATGGAAGGAAACCAATCGTTGTATATTAGATGGCCACTTGCAAGCTTTTAAGATCCCAGTCACTACTCACCAAAGCAGGATGTAGAATGTTGTCTTTATGAACTACGTTATGCCAATTGACCTAGATGTCCCCCAAGACTATGGTCCTTAGCCTTCAAGCCCAGTAACTCAGTCCAGAGAGGTGTTTGGTTATGTCTAGGATGTTTCCATGACTATGCCCCATGTGTGTTCTATTATATGTATGAATATACATGCAGCACATACAAACATGTACATAGAAACATCCACAGCCTAACATATATATACACATGGATGTACTCCCATACGCCCTTCCATACCTATTCAGCATACCTATCTACTTCTGTATCCTCTCATAATTCTTGTTTGTTCTTACTGTTGTTGCAGGATTATATATGTTATGGTATTTACCGTCATTGCCTTTTATTCTTGTATGCCTTTCAATGTCTTCCCTTGCCTTGGTCATGTTGTACTGACTTCCTCTATATTGTGTACTATCTTTCCTTTCACCAAAGTTAACATGTGTCTACTCTCATGTTAGTGATTTTCCCTCCCTTGCCCTCCCATCCCTGATATCCATTAAAAGATGTTTCTATACGTAAACCTTTTCTTTACTATTTATAATAGTGGTTGTCAGGGATTGAATTATGTCCCCCCAAAAATGTGTGTATCAATTTGGCTGGGCCATGATTCCCAGTA